TGGACACATATCGGTTAGTACAAATTTACCGAAAACTGAATTATGTATAGAAGGAAGACTACGTACTTCAAAACAATTGGTCCCTCGATGTTTAGTCTCGACTGACGATCAAGGACTAACACAAGTGCCTGTTTTGAACTTGTCAAATGAACAATTCGTTGTCAAAAAAGGTGACACAGTTACCCGCGGTGTAACTTTCACTGAGTTGTGTAATAACAACGAAATGTGTACTCGTGAAGTAAATAATGAATTAATTACGGCAGACGAAGTTATCACAAACTTAGACACTGATCAATTTCAAGACGTACTGGCAATGATAAACGAATACCGTGATCTCGTGGCGAAAAATATACGACAAGTTGGGTGTACACATTTAGCGGAAATGAAACTTAATATGAATGACGATCAGCCAGTGGTATATCGACCATATTGACTATTTCTTCACGAACGAATACAAGTACGTAATTTAGTCAATGAACTCAAGGATGCTGATATTGTGGAAGACAGCAATTCACCATACTCCAGTCCAGTATTGTTGGTCAAGAAGAAAACGGGAGATGTTCGATTATGTGTGGATTACCGAAAATTAAACTCGAAGACCATACAAGATAAATATCCTTTGCCAATGATGATCAATTTGACAGACTTCATGGTAACATATATTTTACTAGTTTAGATATTTTTATTGGTTACTATCAAATTCCTATTAATGATAGTGTAACAAGGTCACGAACGGCTTTTATCACTCCTAATGGGTTATATCAATTTAAACGCATGCCCTTTGGTGTGTCAAACGGCTCAGCAAATTTTGCCAAAATGATAGCAACTGCTCTAGGATCTCTTTTATTTACTGTAGCGTCAGCTTATTTAGATGATGTAATAATACCAAGTAAAACGGTTGAAGAAGGTTTAAAAAGTTTAAAATTAGTTTTTCAAGCCCTTAGAGAGGCAGGCTTGACTTTGAGAATTGATAAGTGTAGGTTTTTTATGACTAAAATAGAGTATTTAGGTTTTGAAGTAAGTAAAAATGGTATAGAACCAGGAAAGAGAAAGACATTAGCTATTGAGAAATTTCCTGTACCAAAAGATGTTCGAGCTGTACGTAGTTTCATAGGTTTAGCGAGCTATTTTCGTAGATTTGTTCGTAATTTTGCTCTTAAGGCACGACCTCTTACAAATTTGTTGAGTAAAAATACTAAATTCGAATGGAGTGCCGAACAACATAATTCTTTCGAAATATTAAAACAATCTATTGTACAAAAACCAATTCTAAAAACATATAACACTGAGGCACACACCGAGTTACACACCGACGCTAGTAAAGACGGTATCGGTGCGGTATTATTTCAACGACAATCAGATAATTTATTATACCCGATTAGTTTTTATAGTAGAAAAACAACACGGGAAGAATCAGAATATCATTCTTATGAACTAGAAGCGTTAGCTATAGTCAATTCTGTCGAACGTTTTAGAGTTTATTTAATAGGTATACATTTTATAATAAAAACCGATAGTAATAGTTTAAAATTATTAGCTGATAAACGCGATTTATCGCCACGGTATCGGTCGTTGGTTTATTAAAATGTCTGAGTATAATTATACTATCGAACATATAAGTGGTTCTTGTAATTCAACACCAGATGCACTTAGTCGTAGTCCCGTAGAACCCCCAGAAACAATTGAAACAGCTAGTTTACACGTATTTGGTATTAAAATAACTACAGATTGGGTAGCATCAATGCAGCGAAACAGTGTTGAGATAGCAGAACTAATAGAGAAAGTTAATAATAAAGATTTGAGTGTAACGAGCAAGTATCAGTTAGAGGATGGTCGTTTGTATAGAACTACCAAAGGAAGATGGCGATTGTATTTACCCAAAGGAATGAGATATGACATAGTTAGTGAGGCCCACCGTGAGCTTTCACCTTTGGGTGTGGACAAAACTTTAGCAGAAATAAAAGAAAACTATTATTTTCCTAATATGAAAAATTTTGTTACGCAGTACGTAAATAGATGTATAAATTGTTTATATTATAAAATACCAAATATAGGAGCTGTGTATTGGCATCCTTTGGATAAGGGTAACCAACCTATGTTGACTGTACATTTAGTTCATGTAGGTCCATTTGTGTTGATNAGATCATGTAGGTCCATTTGTGTTGACTGATAGGGACAATAAATATGTGCTGACTTTTATAGATGGCTATAGTAAGTATGTTGTTTTGAGCGCAGTGAAGGATGTGAGTGCGGAGGAAACAATAGTGTACGTACGACTTTTTATAAGCCATTATGGTAAGCCACTTCGGTTTATTAGCGATCGAGGTTCCGCTTATACTTCCGTAATTTTTGAAAAGTTCTGTAGAGATCATAATATTATACACGTAAAAACTGCAACCAAGAGTCCTAGGAGTAATGGTCAAGTTGAAAAAACAAACGGTACTATTATTAAATGTTTAGCGATGATAACTGAAAGTGAGGAAAACAGAGATTGGGATATGAAGTTAATGGAAGTACATGGTCTGTAAATAATAGTACACAGACAACAACAAAATATAAACCATTTGATGTTATACATAACTACAAAGCAAATGGATTAATTACTAATAGTTTGAATAGAGAGATAGAGACAGTTAGATTAAATAAAGAAAAGGTTGAAAATGTTGATTTAACGGAAAGACTAAAGGAAAATAGGGAGAAAATGTTGACAAAAATAAATGAACGAAAAAAAAACCATCAAAGTACAACACAGGTGACTTAGTAATGGTTAGGTGGGATCCGCCTGCGACAGGACAGAGTAAAAAACTAGAACCAAAGTACAAAGGTCCATATGAAATAACAAAAGTCCTCAGGTATGGCAGATATGTGGTACAAGATATAACAGGTGAGAGAGTTAGTCAAAAACCATTAAGTGCTGTGATAGGCTTTGACCGTTTAAAGTTGGTAAGCCCAAATGTAGATGAATTATTGTAAAAAAAATATATATATATATTAATATTGTACTATTGTTGTTATTAATGTTAATATCTGTAATTTGTATGTAAACACTATTTTTCTCAATGAAAACATACATTTGTATACATATAATTTTATGAAAAAAAAAATTTGTGTTTAATAATTATTATTATAGTTGTTGTTAAAAAAAAAAAAAAAATGTTCCAAATCGATTAAAAATTATCTGTATTTTGTTGATATTTTGTCAGGAGCCAAAAAATTACAGGATGGCCGACTGTGATATATAGTTTATATAATATAGGGGTCTGCTTATCGTTGCTATACTGGTGATCGACCGTTGTGTCATCCGTATGGATGGTAATGCGAGTTAGTTGACCTTCTATCGTCTCCGTGCGATATATCTGCGTTAATCATGTGTTGTTAGTTTGTTATACACGTAATATACATTTATATTTTATGTTATATCTAAAGTTGGTGTTCTTCATTTTATTAATAAATACCTTCTGGACTTATAAAAATTATTACACATGTCGTTATATGTATAAATTACTATAATACCTAGTGGTTTATTAAACATAATTATAACAATCAAAGTTGTATTTGGTTGATATGTGAAACGTACTGTAGCCTGTGTCTAGATTAAGGAACAGGGATAAAATACACGTGAGTAATTAAGTTACTCGCGCAATAAAATAAATATTACAGTTGAAATTAATAAAGAAATGTAATATAATTGTAAAAAAAAGAAAATTAAGTTAAACATGGACAAAAATGCGAATGCATAAAAAACCATGTCTACAAATAAAGGCAACAAAAATAAAATAAAATATTTAAACAAAAAAAAAAAACAAATAATATTACAAACATCACGGACGGTATTGGAACACATTCGTTAATGTTAATCGGAAATTAATGAAGAACACCAGGATCGGTCTGGACACTCGCTCCTTAGCGTTGGTTAGAAGAAAAGGGAAACACGTGCTCTCCACACATAAACAAAATTAAGTTAATTTACGATAAAATAAAAATAAAATAAAATAATTAATAAAATATAGCTCATTACATAAATATAATATATGAAAGAAAACGATACCTGGTCTCCGAAGAGACCCATCCGATGGTCTGGATGCTTCACCGAAAAAACCTGGGCGTTCGACGTTGCCGGCTCTACTCCATCATTAAAAAAAAATGACCAAAAAACAGTAAACGTGTGCACTCTAGCACAGTTAATGACAGAAGAAAGAATGGAGAAGAGCCAACACCGATCTAACGGCAATTTCAAATCGATAACGGCCAGTCTTTTTGAAAGGGATCAATACTGATAAACAATTCGATTTTAATTATATTTCTCTTTTATCGCCTTATCTAGCGGTCAGCGGCAAAATAATAAGTGGTTGACACCGCTGTGTCAGGAAAAGATTCTTTCGCGTGATAAAATAAATAAGTAAACATAACAGAAATCATTAGCTTGGGTAAATTAATCAGACTGGTGAACATCAGTAATTCCTCTTACTTTCAAGTAAAGTCATGTGCGAAAATTAAAGGTCATTAAAATTCTACAACCTAAGTACAAGTGCTCAGAGATACGATATATCGTAAATATGTTTCATTATAACATTATAACATCACAATCAAAACGATCATTAGAATCAAAAGACATTTCTATGTTTAAAGTAAAATACACATATTATAACGATGAAATTGCACTTTCATAATGATAAAAGATAAAATTAAAAAAATAAACAAGAATTATTTATATTATAATATAAGGAATTCTTTAACTTTTTCTTCTAAAATTTTAAAAGAATGGTGAATTTGTTTGGAGTTTTAATTAGCCAAAGCACCTTTCTATTTGCGACTATGCATAGAAATCTTGAATATTTTTAATTTACTTCAGTAAGATATTTAAAAATGATGATTTATTATATCTGATAATACGTAATAATCAATCATTTTATACTAATTAACATAATTTAAAAAAAATAATGGTAATAGCAAAAATGTGTTTGACATAAAGTAAGCATTTAAATAATATTAATACTTACCCATAGAAACCGAGCATCACATAGTTGCATTACCAATAATTTACATAAAAAGCCCATTTTAATTTTCAGGTATAATAAAATGCATTATTTTAAAATTGGATAATTGTTGTTTAACTGTCAAGCTTGTGTTCTTACGGTTTGTTTGTCACTGTCTGAAACCGATATCCTCAGATCAAAAAGTGGTAACAAATAAAAGTATTATTTAATCATTAGGCAACATGAATGGATACACGTTTAAAAAAATACGTTTTAAAATTATTATTAAAAGTAGGATAATTTTTAGTGTTAACGTAATAACAATTACACTTAAATTCAATTGCATTCGCTAATTAGCATATCAAAAGTTTTTACTTATTTGTGTAAGTCGCTGTTTTAGAGGGAAAGATACTAAAACTACACCAGAACATATTTTATAACAATTATTTCAGTATTTAGTGCTTAAATTTGTCCATTATTAAATCTGATATTAAATATTCAATGTAATCTCTTCTTTCCAAAACATAAATTGTTAATATTAGTATAATAGGTAATTAAAATTACTTTTTAGTCCAAATTTTAGTTAAAACAATTTGAAGATACACTAAATCTAATATATAAATCACTTTAGAACTTCTAAGGAGAAAAATCAGGACTAGAAACCGAATAAATTTCAGTTTTCGTCAATTTTTCTTATATCTAGTAAATTAGTTTATTGACATTTTTATTATATATGCTGAAAAATTATTGCAAAAATATTACGAGACCACCTTTATAGTCTTAATTGAATTTAAACTTTATAAGGTCAAATTTTAGGTTTAGTTAAGGTTTTTAAAGCAATTTCATAATACTTTTGTTTTCTAATATTACAATTATTAATCTTACAAATTTAAAAAAATAAAAATCGATGTAGGTCTATTAATTTACTAGATATGGTAAAAATTTCGAAAACCAAAATTATTTCGGTTTCATAGTAAAGACGTTCTAAAATTTTTGTTTGATTATCAGTTAAATCAGAAACGCGCGTACGGATATGTATATCACTTGAATAATTGTTTACAGAAGTTATATCGTCAAGTCATAAATTAGCGACTCCAAATTTTTGCAAATTTATTATTGTATTTTATTACGTTTGTTAATTTTAATGGTATTAGTGTTAAAATTATGTAAACATAATATACTTGACAATATAATATAAAAAAGTTTCATTTTCATGGAAACAATTGGATGTGGTTCATTGAATGTGTAATACAAATTAAGAAAGCAACGGGTGGGAGGTGCTTCCAAATAAACACCATTTCTATCATCAAAACAAAATTACCTAGGACTACCATCACTAGTCACAAAACAAATCAATGTGTTTAAGTAATTCTTACAAATTGTTTGAATAACTGCGCCATATTTGCTAGAATCTATACCCAAGCAGATAATTGTTATATACTCTAAGCACAATGAATAGTGTGTTCGACAGAAAACAGGTACTTAAAATGAGTTATTATAATTTATATAATTATGTTAAGTGATCTTATATTATGTCAAGTAATATCCTTTGGATATAACTTCAAATGATTTTATTTAAAAAATTAAGTAGGAAGATTTTATCATTTATTTGCAAGTTGTGTACATGCATCTTTAAACACACATAAAATATCTTATCGTAAGTTACTATGATGATTCTATATATTTTTAATACTTTTAATCTATCATTTTTTAGTTACATTATTTTATTAACCAACAACTTTTTTCTAGAGAAGAAATTTACATACATTTGACTAAAGTTTTATTAAAAAAGCAAACCTAGTTAAATACATTAACTATCTTCGTATGTTTTCGAAAAAATACAATAATAAGATTTCTAGCTAATTTTTATGTTTTAAATGTTACCATCTATTTTTTGCAAAAAATTATACTCTAATATTTTTTTAAATAAATATTTTTTTTTACTTTTCCTCACAAGACTTTAATAGAAACGTAACTAAAAAGAGCATCAGATAATATTTTTTGTTATTGAAAATATATCTTGATCCATAACAAATATTTTAACAGTAGATATAATTTTAATTAATATAATAATCTACGTTTTTGGGGTTTGATTTTATAGCTTGAGAATTCTGCAGTATTTTTATCGCGTCGTTCATCTTTATTATTAAATGTTTAACTAGTTGAAACTTTTAGTGTAAATTTCTAGAAAATAAAAAATATAATTTAGAATTACTTTTATTTAAAATGTTTTGACAAGTATATGAGAAATAAATACATAATTTTGTAATTAAAAAATATATAAAAAATAATATTAATTTTAAAATTAATATAATTGTTTATCTAATTAATAGAAAGTACTGGATGATTAAAGTTTTCCTTATGGTATAAGTTATATTTATATTTCTTATATTATACATAAGTTGTTGTTAAAAATATGTTTTACATTTTATCATGGGTTTAAATTTAAAGTTTTTATTCATTTTTAAAGTTAAAATATGAATTTTGCCTTTCATATTGCTCGTTTGAGAACAAATCGTATCTTGGTCCGCAAATATACAGGTCAGTGGCGTGCTAACGGGTTGGCCTATTAAGCTCGATCATTCGTTGTTTTCAAAGATAACTCTTGGCACGGATAATCCGAACCACGGCTCATGGCAGAAAATTTCTAGGGGGATTTAAGCATTGGTGCTATTAGAAAAAATATTTTTTTCATTATTTTTTAAAATTACTTTGACAAAAAAATTTAATTAGAAAAAATGGTATTCAGCTAAATATTCTAGCTTAATCGACTTGACATCATAAACATTTTCTAAAAATGCTATATTATCATTGTCATGTGAAATGGTCAAGGATATAATCAAAATGTCAGAGGCAGCTACGCTCAGTCTTGTATACCCAGACTGGATTCGTGAAGTTTTTGATCCCAGTACTAGATAAAAAATTGGACTCCAAAAATATATTTTTTTTAAATAATAAAGAAAAAATAATGTCATTCACACCCTCAGAAAGATTGTACACGATATTATAATTCTAATTTGTAATAATTTTAACTAAAGAGCAAACTTTTAAGTATTTATAAATTTTATTTAAATCATTTTAAAATGATCCAAGTTTGTGCAAATGTGTTGAATATGCAGGAGCGTACAAATATTTATTGTTTTATGGGAGATATATCCTCTAATCTCCCAACAATATAATCCCATATATATCACATTATGAAATGAGTCAAACCTATTATTAAAAATTCTGACTTGTTAATTATGTGCTTAGAATTATTTAACAAAATTAATAAATGCATATAAATCCACTGTCTGATGAGCCTGTACTAAATGTTTAATACTGAGTAAATATTTAATCGCTTCTCAAAAAAGTTTTCTTTTTCTTTTAAACTGAATTTTTTTCTTGATTTTCTGTTACAACTATTAATTTTTTTTACTAAAGAGAATTTGTATTAGATTGGTGGAAAAACACACCTTAAACTATAATTTCCTTTTAACAATCATTAATTAAATATTTTTAGTACATTTGTAATAACCAATCTTCAATGTGATTAGTATATACATCGAGCAATAGACATTTGAATGAATATTTATACAAGGACGTTTACTAGTATGTTGATTTCCGTAAATAATCTATAATCGTTCTTGTATTACATTTCAAATATAAATGTTCCGATGAATTGATTTAAAAAGTAGATTTACACGCGTATTCTTATTACCTATGCATATTACACAATTAAAAAAATCTTACATTATGTTACGATAGAGCTAATGAAGCGTATATTTCAATGACCCCTTTTAATGGTCTATTGATTACTGGGTACTTTTATCTAAATAATTAAAAACAAACATAACGTATTTTCTTTTATAAAATCCTTGTTAATTTGTTCAATTATCTAAGTATTAAAAAAAAATTTTTTTACAGATTCCTTATACTAAAACGATTGTTGTTTTTCTATTGGCTAATTTGATAGTTTCAATTGATTCAATAACAGTTAGCACCGATAACACATTTGATTCTCAGCTAAAAAATACTTTTGATACCATAAAATCATCAATAGACTCGAGAGTATCCGGAAATGGGCAATTCGGATCTTTTATTTATCCAGACAATAAAAAAAAATCGTATCCTGAATTTCCTCGGTTACATGAAGATATTCATGATCAAATGAAAGGTTGGGATTTTAATTTTAATCATGATGAATTTAAAAATATTAAAATACCCCAAGAACAATCTTTCCGACCAAAAAAATTACTCAACTTTGAGCCTCTACGACCATTTAATTATTTTTCTTCTCAAAATTCTCACAAAAACCGTAACTCCAATCTTCTAATACCAGGACACCAAGATGATGGCTCAGATGAAGGAAATAGTAGTGGGAATGAAGGAGGCAGTGGTGGTGATAATGGTGGTGACAGTGGAAATGATGATGGTGGTGATGGAGGTGGTAGTGGAGGTAATTTACAAGAAGATGAAGATGACGAAACATATGCACAAAAAGAATCTGTCGAATTAGATTATGAAAGCGTAAAAAATCAAAATGATGGTGATTGGAATACTATTAACCCTGATAAATCACGAAAACAAAAACCACGACAATTTCGGGATAGACCACAATTAAAAAGGATTGCTGGATACGGTGCTCATAAACTTCTTTTAGCCGAAAGTGATAAATACAATAAAAACCCTCATTCGCAACGTACAAATAAACAAAAATATATATTTGATAGTCCATATTCGGCAAATATTGAAAAACGTAGAAGACCAATGAACGCGTATGAAGAACGTCCCAAATCAATGAATGAAAAAAAAAAGCAACGTCATTATAGAATCCATGATGACTCTAATGAAATTTATAACAATATAGTTGGACGATCAAACAAACCAGCATTATCTAAACGACCCTCAAAATTATCAGACTATGATGAAGAAGATGAACCGAAAACTTTACAGTCTAAGCGACAACATACTAAAAAAAAACAAGTTTGCCATAAAATAAGGAAATCGATGACACCCGATGATATAGAAGATCATGATTCAATCGGTAGGCAAATGACATGTATGCGCTGTAAAGATATAGCAACAGGTGGTTCTTTTGAGAAATGTGCTTACAAATCTCAACCAGAGTCTGGAGAATATTATAGAGGTACAGAAGTTATAAGAGGAACACCATATAAAGCAAAACAAATTCGCTATAAAAGAAAAATAATTGATAAAAAACCCGAAAGTGAAGAATCAACTGAAAAGGATTATGAATACGAAAATCAAGCTGAAGAATCTGAAGAAGAACCAGAATATACAGCAGAATCTGCCGTAAAAAATGACAATGAAAATGATGAAGAAACTGCTGAAAATGAAAGCGGAGAATACGACTTACCAATGATGCCTATTAAGTCAGCAACTTGTTCTAAAATAAGAAAAGAAGGTAACATATGTAATGTATGTAGAGATAATCTTACAAATAGAAAGTATGAAGAATGCGAATATGAGTCTGATCCAAAAAATAATGCTTATGAATACTCAACGCGTAATCAATACGGTACTCCTCGATATAGGAGACAATTGGATAGTGATCAAACATACGATGATTATTTTAAAAAGCTCTTTCCTGTATTAGGGTCTAATAGAAAAAGTTCGTTGGCAACTAAGTTTTCATCTAAAGATGGCGATTTCGGATTTTTAGACAATGGTCACATAGGTTTTAAAAAAACTAAATCTAAATTTATAGGAGATAAAAATCTTTCTATTAATTTTGATTCTGGTGAAGAAAGTGAAGTTAATAAGATGTTAGGTGAATTTCGCAATAAAGACCGCTCTAACTGCAAAAAGTCTCTTAAAGACAAAATGACTTGTTACAAATGTAAAGATGATAAGGGACTTGAAACTGAAGAATGTATGTATATAACTGACGAGAGTCCAAAACAACATAAACAATCTTACCACGAAACAAAAAAATTTAGTAACAACCCATTGCTAGAGGAAGCTAAATCTAATCAAAATGTTTCTCAACAACTTGCGTCTTCATCACTTTCAACTGCTTATGCTCCTTTACACTTATATAATTCTGGTTATGAACCTAAAATTGCATACTCATATAATCAACCTTATACACAAGAAACAAATTATAGACTTCGTAAAAAACCTGTGGATGATTATGTCGAAGCATTAACAGAAGAATATGATGATGATCAGTCCGAAGCACAAAGTTCAAGCAGCGAAGATTACGAAGAAGACCCGTCATCTAAAAAAGTGTCAAGACATGATCTGCCCGATGTTGATCCATTTGGACCAGAAGGCGCATATAGTGAAGAAACGGTACCCGTGTATGACACACAACTTGGTACATGGTTACCAAGATACATGGTTCAAAGATCTGAGGAAGAAGCAATAGTAGATGCTGAGCTAGGATTCGATTGAAATTATGAAATGAAAAATTAGTGTAAAAATATTTTATAATTAATAATACATGTCTTATTCAGATATTAAAAAATATTAATGGCATGGAAAAGGAAGTAAGACAATTTAATACAAGACTCCATAGTTAAGTAATTCAATGTTTTATTTTTGTATTATTCATTTAATTTTTAATACTTTCGCTATTGTTATTATATTATTTGGTAGTATATAATTTTATTATTTATTTTTGATATTCCTATATATTAATAAATATTTTTTTGTTAAATACAACTTTTATGAAATTCATTTTTTAAAGTCACTTTTTGGATTTCGTTAAACGCAATATATATATATATATATATATTGTATCCTTAAAAATATGACAATAACTTTCTTGGAAACTATAAAAAATTTTTTTAAAAAAATATATTCATTGATTCAAAAAACTGTACAGAAACGTGTAACTAAACAAATTTTGTTTACATCCTCTCGAGGATAAAAAAATCTCAACTTTAATATTCTATAGTGAGAACTCCAACTTTTGTTTGATGATAGTAAACATTTTTTTTATTATTATTCAATTAACCATTTTTCTGGTAAGCTTGTTTAAGTTTATCAATATTTAACCAATTTTCTATTGATAATTTGCTGTTTAATATTTATTAGATGCCATATACCACAGGTTCAACTCGATATTATTCATCATCAGAAATCTTATCTTTGATAATTAAGATCTATAATATAGACAAATACTCTTACATTAAACGCAAGTTTAGTATCGTATATTGTTGAACAACCGATGTGAAAAAATTGTGATAATAGATACCATAAAAATAATTTTTGTCTTAATAAAAAAGATTATAATCTGTTTCAATATATTGTTGCTTACAGTATTATTATAACCTAAATAATCATGAATTTATATTTTAAATTGAAATCTTTAAATAAACTATATTAAAACGCAAATGGTTGACCAAATAAAAATTATAAGAACAAAATTGATTAATATTTTTTTTTCTATTAGATTATCAAATTAAAAATAGGGATTACATTAAAATATTAAAATTTAATTTTAAAGTTAAATTTTTTTATTCTTTTTCAAAATAAGATGGGGTATTATGAATAAACCTCTTTTAAGCTCCTTTAATAATGCATACAATTTTTACCATAAAATTAGATTTTATACGGAATTTGGTGTAAATTAGATAAAAATAAACTTAGAAAAAGTGAAACTAAAAAGAAAAATGAGATTGATTTTGAAAATCCACTGAATGATTTATTTGATATTGCTTATATGAATGCAATGAAACTAATTAAAAACAAAGAAGAGAGATAATTTCCTATCTTTCGAAAACAAAAAGGTCACGTTGGTTATATGGTAGAAGAAAATAAAAATTATCCGGTATTGAATATAGGAGAGTTGAACGCGAGTAATTACAAGTTATTTTGAAAAAAAATCAATTATATAACCGGGTAAGTTAAAATACATGAAAATGTAAATGTATATTTTAGAAATTAAATTATATAAAATAACTCATATCCAATATTAATTATTTTGTAAAAAGTATAAAATACTCTTAAATTTTTAAACAAACTTTTTTATTTATAGGTTCATTTCGTAATATGGATTTTAATCAGACTAAAATACAGGGCCACTATTCTGATGATATAAATAACGTAAATGATAACTCAAATAAACTTACTTCCAAAAAAAAAGAAGAAGGGACAATAAAGACTTACTGACGAGTCGGTTAGCATCAGCTTTAAATTAATGTAAGGTCAATGAAAAAGTTCATTTTTGTAAAAAAGTTGCTATTTTAAATCCCCCCCAATGAGCAAGTTAAGTGACAGATTTTCAAAAAAAATTATATCATATGAAAGGGAACTATCTAAGGTGTCAATACAAAAAATATTATTTTTATTTGTTCATTTTTGAAAAAGTTATAGCAGTTTTAAGTACAAAAAAAAATCCCGATAAAAGGTGATTTTTATCGCAAACATTACATTTTTTTTTAATTTTCGACAGCCATTTGCACATAGAAGATAAGATGTCGAGACAAATTTTTTTTTCATTTGATAGTATACAACATAACCTTAGATTTGATATATATTTAAAGGACGCAGTATTTCCGGAACATTTTCAAAAATTAAGTTGAAAAAGTTAATTTTTGTAAAAAAGTTGCTATATTAAATTCCCCCCAATGAGCAAGTTAAGTGATAGATTTTCAAAAAAATGATATAAAATGAAAGGTAAATATCTAAGGTTTTAGTATAAATAAAAATTATGTTAATTTGTTGATTTTTGAAAAAGGTATGGAAGTTTTAAGAAAAAAAAGTGAAAAAAATGACAAAATTTACCGATTTTTAAATTTGTAATTTTTTTGGATATTTCTCCCATTTTCGGGGAACGAGGGAATTTTTTTCAATTTTTAAGGGTAATGTCTCCAACTAGATACGATTTGTGATCTTTTGACGTACTTTTGAAAGAAATCGGTCCAGTGAGAGCTGAGAAAAAGTGGTAACAGACACAAAAAAAAAAACACATCATAGTAAAATTAATACCTTCTCAGCTACGCATCGAAGCTAAAAAATTACTTCTTTAAATTTTCTTTTTGTAGTAGTTCATTGAGATTCAAAAATACTTTTTACATAACTGGTACGTAAAATGTTGACAGGTTACCAATAATTATTACAACTCCGAATACTAAACAATTTTTTGGAGTACTAGGCTGACATCAGAAAAAGAGAGTGAGATTCCATCTGCTGTTTATGACACTCCAAAAGGTTATGAGCTTTTAGAAAAAGTTCAAGCATTTGTATTTAATACACGATATTACTCAGATAGTATGCAACAATGGAATATTTATTATTTTTTACTTACATTGTTTTATTAAAAGTAATTAAAATTTTAATTACTGAAAATCAGAGAGTTAAAATATTATATGATCTAAAATTATTATTAATATTTAAAAATATTTTAAGTTATTAGAAAGATAAGTTGTACACTTTACCTGATTACATCAATACTTGTTCTAGTATATATTTATAACGCATACTGCATAGCCACCATATGTTAAAAACGCTTACAACTCAATGTACATATTATAAAGTTGTTATTGACCAATCACATTTTTTTTAAGAAAAGCTTTAATAAACTATTTTTAAATTTTGAAAAAATTAAAAATTACAGTGAAATTTTAATTTTATCAAAGGTAAAAGAGTTGTCAATTAGATTTGTTCCCCTCCGTTTTTAATAAAAAATTATATACACCAATGTAAAATAATTCCAAAAAATCTATAAAAATTGTAAGATTTCTAATTATCTATTATTCAGTTATTATAAACCATTAGATAATTAAATATTATACCTAGATAATTGAATGATTTGTCATTCATTAATTTTTATTAAAAATTTAATAAACTTTATACCCTCGATATGTTAACTCTAAATTACTAATAGCATCTAATATACTATTTATAGACATTAACAGCTATCACTAAGAAGTCCATAGTACAAATTTGAATTTTTTGAGCTTTGTAATATAGATGATTAAAAATATATACCTTGTAACAATTAGTACATTTTAGTTATTAATCATAAGTTCATCTAGGTTCATGCTCTCTTATTATATCTAGGTCCAAAATATATAATTTATTTTATTCACAATATTGTTATAATTTATTGAACGGCAAGATTATTTTCATTACTATTATTTATTTTTCATAGTCATTAGTACTCACTCACTCGTTGTTTGATCATACAATATATATTTAAAGGAACTGTTTTCTCCTATTTTATTTATTAAAATATCCAACATTTATTTATTAAGTATCCAACGCGACAACCATGACGGCGTCGACAAAACAGGATTTTCCACAGTTTGTGGCCATCAAAAGGATTATGAAATTACCAGTGGTTTCCTCTGGAGTTGACAAGGCAACATGCATATATGTTAGAGTCAAGGTGAATTTTATATAAAAGAAATTTTATTTATCTACTCAATTAATTTATAAAATTTTCAAATTTAATGATTTGATCATTTCAGATGTCTAACAGAGTTATTCAGTATGGATTTGAAAATGCTGAAAGTACAGTATGGACTGTTGTTGATATGTCTGTGCCTTTGGTGACTAAATTCGAAGATCCCATTAATAAAATTGATGAAATGATTTGTAAGTCATTGGATGTAGTGGAGCAAAATGTTCCATTTGTTACATATACCCCCGAAGAGGTTAGTTTAAGTTAATAAGATATAATAATATAAGTTATTTGTCTATCAAAAATAGTTAGCCAAGTAATTACATAATGATTACTTAATTTAACAACGATAAATTCTAGACTAGATTTCATTAAAGTAATTATTATTCTCTAGATTCTAGAGACTAATAATTTTGAATAAAATAATATTAATTGAAGCTTCATTTAGTATTAGGGTTAGTGGCTTACTCAGTGAAAGGTGAGTTTTGTGTACCAACCATCAGAGCCAAATGTTTTTTTTTAATATTTCATGATTGATTGGTACGTTCTTAAATTTGACAACAATTGTCAAAACTGCCAAAATTCTTTTATACTTCATAAATGAAATTTAAAAAAAATACAATATAAATTATACTAATGTTTGTATAACCAAACCAAGAAATGCATTCTAATTTTTTTATGGGTGCTATATTAAATTTTTAGTTAGGGGGAACTAAAGCCCCTATATCACCTCCAAGTTGCGCCTATAGTTTTCAGACTAAATTTAAATAATGATCGGTCTTGGTTAAGATTTTAAAACCAATTTAAAAATATGGCCAGTTTATGTTTTGGATTCAAAATTCGGTTTTGAAAAATTATCGATTTCGATTTTAAAAACCGTTTTTTGGTCGTAGTTTTTTTGGTTTCATTTTTATTTAGAAAAAACGAAAATAATCAGTTTTAACCGGTTTTTAGAAAAATTATTTCAGTTTATAATAATAACATAAGTATATAATAAATATTAATTAGAGGTACTATGTAACACAGTAGACACTTTAGATACTGACAATTCTGGATTTAAGCTTCGCCCGTCGCTGTTAATAATCGGATGGATTAGCAATTTCAATGGCGGAAAACACTATATCCCCTAGTACAGCAAACAAGTAAAAAATCACTGTACTTAAAATTTCTCTAGATTTCACCAGTCTAATATTAAAAAATTGGTTGGCTTTTACCAAATTAACGGTTGAAAAAATATAGTGATATATATTTTAATTTATAATTTTGACAACTATAAATTGTCCATACTAGTTCTATAAGTAAAAATACAAATTCTTATTCTTTTCATGGACTTGGTTATTCTATCTTAAACTGTCACATAAGATTATTTATAAATATTACATATTTATAAATTAAGTTTATTTATAATTAGTGGTATTATGTATTTTCGGCAACTTGAGAAACGACGAAAAAAAAATACGAATGCCGTTTACACAAATACTAAATAATATATATTGTCATCTAAATATTATGACTAATTTTTGTTGTTATTGACCATGAAAATTTACTTTTATTATTTTTACACTTTATAACTAATGAACTACCTAATGAACGAACCTCTCCGCCGGTTACTTAGAAGTGCTAATGCAGATCCTAGTTTTATATTATAATAATATTTGTATTATTTTGTAATGTCTTATTCATATGTCGATTTATTAGTTGTAAACATTTTTGATTTTGTCTTTTGTTATTTGCTTTTTTTTATGTATTTTTTATGTATTTTTTGTTCGTTTTTGTGTCTTTCTCTTAATTTAGTTAAAATTAAATATGTAAACATAGCATGCTTGTAAAAAAAGGGATTAATCCCGTAAACTAAATAAATAAATAACAACTTACTACTAATAATTAAGATATTTACACATTTTTGATTGACATAGTAATTATTAATTCTTATAAGTATTTTGAAATTGCAGATAAACGATGTAGTTAAAATGTATATTTTATAATGAAAATTGAGGAAGTGATTTATGTGAATAACTTTTTTTTAATTCCCCAAGATCAAATTTGAATGTAGGACATTAATTAGGATACAGTGTAGCAATGGCATATGAAATGGGTAAAAATTTCATAGGATTTTTCAATGAACTAATTTATTACCAAAAACATTTAATAATTTTTTTTTCTTTTGAAGTGATTTTTCAACTATAATTTATGTTTAGCACAACCAATAAGATGGCGTAACCCTTTACATACCTTGGATATGTCACGAGGGTTTGGTGTGGTGTCTAATTGAAACCCGATTAATAATCAAGATCAAAATTTAAGAAATGTTGGCTAATGGCCTTAACTGTAACGGCTTTCTTCTTTATTAAACAATTTTTTTTAAGTTTTGTTAGCTGTCGATATATCTAATAAATGTATCTATATCAGCAAAATAATTAGGAATAGGGTATAGGTGTACATTTTGGAGTAGTTTTTGAATATAAAAAGATTCTTTGTTATTACTCATGATTTAAATTTTTTTGTTTTATGGAAGCTTTTTCGATGTCTTATTATATACTCAGATGATCAAAATAGTTAAATGTCCAAGTTTAGTCAACATTTTTTACGCAATAGTATTAATTAAATAATAATAACAAATGTATCTGTACATTTAGTTCTAAATTAGAGATTTCCACTAATACGTCAAAATATAAAGACAGCTTAAAAGCACCTATTAATATATAATATCCAAATAAATTTTAAAAATGTTTAAAAACCGTATAAAAAAAAATAAAAATCTCTTATACACCCGAAACAACACACAAATAAAACAATTTGTATTGAAGATCCTGATTTTAATAAATATTTATTTTTGACTGAATTGAGTTTTACATTAATTTCTAAAAACTGGTTTTAAATAATTATAAAAATGTATAAATTATTCTAGTTATCATTACAATATATAACAAAATAAGTTTAAAGTTCAATAAATTCCAATTGGTAATTTTAATATTATTAATTTAATTATTATATAACTATATATACAGGAAATTATGTATAAACAAACATGATTGTAATAATAATGTATGTTATAGTAAATATTTTTTTTTCTTTTTATTAGTACTTTATACAATCTGTTTTATATGAACAATAAGCATGATTTATCAATTATACTACACATGTTTTAAATAACAGAATTTAGAAATCTCCCAGTAGAAGCACTTCAGTATAAATACAATATTTTGATATCAAGCACAGCTTTTTTTATTAAAATATTATAAAATCTGTTTTTTTTTTATACAACCAAATTATTAAAACAAATATCTCAATTAATTAAAGATTAAATCTTTAGGTTACTTTAATAGAATGGTAGGATTATTATCACAGTAGTTAAACCTTTGATACTGTATAAATAAAAATGTTAAAACATTTTTCTTATATTTTTTATTATTTTCTGAGAAAAAAAAATAAAAGTTAAACATATTTTAATGTCATAAATTGCACCTGAAGATTTTGGTAAATTCTTTTGAAATACCAACTTTTTGAATTTAAGTACAAAAATTTTAACTAAAAATGCTGTTAATTTTAAGCGTGAAATAGATTATCAAATTTTTAATATTGGGGGTCAAATAAAACAACAATATAGTTCAAACTGTTATAAAATTAGAAATAAATTTAAGCTATCAGAATAAACTCTTTTGACCTCTTGTTTTTTGAAACTATAATCTCAAATGTAACTGATTTGAAATAATTTGAATTTCGTTCATTATTTATTTATCAATCATAACTCAGATTTTAATAACTAGTTTAATTTAATCATGTTTAATTTTCAATATGTCAAAAGTTATTGCTAATGTCATAGAAGACGGGAACCTACACATTTCATTACAACGAAATCAAACCCAACCTCCACACCAAATCATGACGATTAAACAACTGAGTTATTTAGGCCGCCTATAATTTGATAAAATTGATTTGAACAACCTTTAAAGGTTATCAAATCACCAAAAAGATCAGATTCCATAAAAAAAAAGCATCTGTTAAGATTTTTTAATTTAGGAAGATTTATTAAATGTAAATAAAAACAACCATTAGATTTTTTATTTAATAATAAGATATTTGTCGAATAATTTTCGATTATCAAATAATAAACGTTGTTAAGGTTCTTAATGTTTCTAAAGTAGAAAATAAATTCATTAATAAGTTGTGATGGTGTCACGTTACCATTATTGTGAGAATTATTTTAATAAAATACAGACAACACATCCGCTTCTTGAAACTGATGAATTAACAAATAATATTTATTGCCAATTTGGCAATAGTTCTAATTATTATAAAAACCCAATAAACCTGACCATCGTGGTCAGTCGACTCCAGTGCCTTGTGTCATTCATCGGTCTCAGTACTCGGTTGTCGCTGTCCGGCTTACTGTTTAAAGTAAAGTCTTTGTTTAT